ACTTTCACCTGTGGCATAACTAATTAACTGCCTCCCAGATTCAGGGGGCAGCACTAAGGCAAATAAGATGATAATATAATGAACTTCCAAGAGGGATGAGAGAACTCAGTCTGAGAGTAGAACCAAAGAGATTAGGTAGGTTTTGTTGGAAGATCCTGAGACTAGTATGTCAGAGGAATCAACTTAGGGTGACTGTCAAAATATTTCACAAAGGAACTGGGAACAAGGCCAGAAGATGGGTCGAAGAGAAGCCCTTAAAGGGCAGAATAACTTTATTTATTGGGATTTTTTAGGCAGTCTCTTGCTATCTTAAAAAAGGATTGTCATTTTTGGCACAGAGCAATCTGTGGAGAGCTAAGTAGTTCCACCTTGGGGAAAGAAACTGAGGCAGGGAGTTGCAGCACTGCAATACCTTATTAACAGAGGGTACTATTGGGCAGTAATGCTCCCCCCATCAGGTCCAATCCTGCAAATTTATCTATGTGGAAGATGGTGTCACATTCAAAGATTTGCCCAGCTGAATCTGACTGCACTGAATGAAGACTTGGTTTGTACAGGTTCAAATAAATCTTTTATTGGAGGAATGGTTTCTGTTAGTCTTGTATGCACTCAACTGACAACAATTATAAATCAACCCATGTACACTCAGAAATACTGTCAATTTCATGTTAGAACACACATGTAGATGTCCTCATGTTGCCACAACTTTTCCTTCCTAATTGAAAAAAAAACAAACAAACACAACAAAAACCCCAACAACATTCATGGTCATTTTGATCTATGTAGATGTCCTCATATTGCCACAACTTTTCCTTCCTAATTAAAAAAAAAAAAACACCAACAAAAAACCCAACAACATTCATGGTCATTTTGATCTGATTTTTCCATTGGAGTGGCAATTTTTCTAATCAGCTCAAAGCTGTAATCAAAATATTGCCTATTGATGCAGATACCAAAGTTATCGTTTAAAAACATGCAGTAAAACACCAAATGCTAACCTATATCATTCTGCATTAAATTGCAGATTGTAATGACTGGTTTGAAGTTTCATTACAAAAATGTGTCACTATTAGAAATCTGATTTTCTGGGGTTGTTTTTTAATTTCTGGATGCAGTTACACACACACACAGGCTAACTGCCTATGAGACATGGATACATGTCCCCTTTTATAATCTGAATGTCAAAACCTATTTTTTTTCCTTTTAATCTTGTTTTTTCACTAGCTATTGCTTTATATATTTATAAATGGAAATCACCCATGCACCCTCTAGTGGTTAGTGAAAGAACTGATTTAACAGAAAAATGTGTAGATGCAGATCTTTTTTATTGTGCCACCCACAGTCCACTGATTGCTTTCACAGGTGAATTTCTTCAATTGTCATTCATTCACTTCCTCCTTTTCCCAATCTTTTCTCTTATCAAGTTAGCCACATTTTCCTGTTTTTGAAGCAACTGGAGTTCCATGTGTCAGAGTGAGTAGAGGTAGTTATTTTTTAAATTTCAGAAATTGAGTAACAGTAGTCTGCAGTAAACCACTGAAGTAACAATAGCTAAATAAAACCGTGCAGTGACAGCCAAATTCAAACAAGCGCATGTCAGTATACAAGAAAAACAGATACAAGACAAGACGACTATGTTCCAACTCTAGGACAATTACAATTAATATTAGTCACTCTGTGCTCTGACTACCAAGGATCATTGCACTCGCCATTCATTTGAATTTTAAATGGAAAATACAATCAAGACTGAGGCAGTAGCGATGGGGACTGACAGCATCCTGGTCAGCTGGCCATTTCTGCACTGGCCACAGGGGATGGGCTCTGTGGCACGCCATGGGATAACGGTCCCCGAGAGGCTCTCTAGTCATCAAATGTCAATGGCCAGAACAGTGTTTCCTGGCCACCCCACTCTCCCCGTGCAGCCAGCGCTGTGCGCTAACGGGGCCGAGGGAACAGGATGCATCACACGCCGCTGGCATGAGCGCTCGCTGGCTGTGTCCGCGGTGCCCAAGCACCCAGCGCGACTCGCCGGCCAGCAAGGCGCAGGGAGGGAAGGGGGCTCGGGCGGAAGCATCCAGGCCTCTCGAGGCAGGGGAAGGGAAGCGCGCGGCCCGCCCGCGAGCACACCGGGAGCACAGACCCCTAAGACCCAGCCCTGGGCTCGAACCACGAACCCAGGCAGAGCAGTGAATGTGGCCGGGCGGCGGCCCTCAGGCAACACAGCAGGGCGGGGCTGGTGCAGAGAGAGGGAGCCGCTCTCGCCAGCGTCAGCAGCACAGGGACGCTCCCCCTTTGTCCGCCCCCTCGAGCCTGCGCACTAGAAGCACCTCGGCGCTGACTCCTCCGGCTCGCCGTTCCTTCCCAGCATGCCGTGCGGTGCACGGGCCCCGGGCCCTCGGGGAGATTCGTCGCGCTATGGAGGCGGCTGCCAGCGCTTCGGATTTGTTCGACGCTATCGTGATGGCGGAGGACAGGTGGGGCCGGCAGAGAAGAGCCCTGCCCCAGTGTCCCTCTTGGGGCTTCGCCCGGTGTCTCCCCTGCTGGGGGGGGGAGTAGGGGAGCAGCAGCCTTTCCTGCCCAGGAGGGGAACGAACTTATTTCGCTGTGGCTAAAGGCGGGGGGCTCTACCACCCCCGCCCCTCTTTGCCGGGCGCGAGCCCGTGCGCGTGACAAGGCCGCAGTACGTTGCGCCCCAGCGTGACGGGAAACTGCCATCAGGTGGCCGGAAGTTCCTTCTGTGGCCTTGTGGGAACGTTCTGCCCCGTAGTCTGGGCCCTTGGGGGCCGCCTCCTTCGCTCAGCTCCGGCGGCGGGTGAACAGCAGGCCAGGAACGGCTGCTCCTTGCAGATTTCCCAGCGCGCGCCGCGCCGGGAAGGTGCTGCAAGAAAGACGCTGGGCTGGCTGGGCTGCCCTCTCGCGTGCGAGCTGAAGGTAGGAAACGGGAGGGGGAAATGCTAAAAACTCAACAGCAGTAAAAGTTTTCCCGTCCTCTCCTACCTTCAGGGCCGGACTGAGCCAGTCTGGCGCCCCGGGCAGACAGTTTAATCGCCCCCCAGGGCGCGCGGAGCTGGCGACAACATGCTTTTCAGCCAGAGCTGAATAATCGAATATAATTTTTTTCATCTTTAAATTGTGTGATTTTTTTTTTATGATCCAGTAAATGAAATTAGCTCACCCGTGTCTCTCTAATACTAGCAGAAATTAGCTCACCCGTGTCTCTCTAATGTAGCAGATAGTGATGTGTTACTCCACTTTGTCTCATGAGTAGGCAGTCTGAAATTACTTTGAAATCTGTTAGCATTGTAAAGGCGATATTTTAGTAAAAGTAATAAAATATTCAGTATTTTTGTGGCCTAGTATTTCTGTATTATGCCTTAGGTGATATTTAATTAGGATTAATTTTTATATTTATTTCTCCCTTTACAGATTTCATGGGGAAGGATATCAAGAAGGTTATGTTGAAGGAAGTCATGTTGGTGTTATTGAGGGAAGAAGATATGGAGCTCTACATGGTGCCAGGATTGGGTCTGAGGTAAATGCTGAAACTTTGTAAGAATCAATGTGTTGCTGAGATTAGATGGTGTTGTACTGAAGTAGTGTCTGAGCAGAGTATGATGGGTTATGTATAGGGATGTGAATGAGTAGTTGACTACTTGATCGCTCACCCCCACCCTGTTGCTGCTCTGCACTCTTAAAGGGACAGAGGAGCTGGCACGCAAAGACACTGGCTCAGTCTCTGGTCCCCTGCCGGGTCTCAGGACAAACACCTCTTCTCCCCTCCCCTCCCCCCCCTTGCTACTCTGCATTCTGAAAGGGACAGAGCAGCCATCCTGCGGGGTTCAGCACAAGTCCTTCTTCCTTCTCCCCAATACCACTCTGCATTCTTAAAGGGACAGAGCAGCTGGTCTACAGGTCTCAGTACAAGCTCCCTTCAAGCTCCCCACTGCCACTTTGCATTCTGAAAGGGACAGAGAAGTGGCAGCCCATCCTGCGGGTCTCTCTCCGCACATGTTGTCTCCCATTGCTGCTAAAAGTGAGAGAGACCCCCCCCCAGGATGGGCTGCCGCTTCTCTGTCCCTTTAAGAATGCAGAGTGGTATTGGGGAGAAGGAAGAAGGACTTGTGCTGAACCCCGCAGGATGGCTGCTCTGTCCCTTTCAGAATGCATAGTGGCAGCAGGGAGGGAGGGGGGTTGTCCTGAGATCTGGTGGGGGACCAGAGACTGAGCCAGCGTCTTTGCGCACCAGCTCCACTCTGTCCCTTTTAAGAGTGCAGAGCGGCAATGATGGAACTGGGAGGTCTTGTGCTGAGACCCAGAAATGAGTACTGTACCTGCCGTTCTTAATGACTAGTTGAGTAGTTGATGGAAATTCCATCAACTATTCAACTAGCAAATTAATCTCTATTTAACATCCCAAGTAATAAAACAACAAATGGTCTGGTAGCACTTTATAGAATAACAAAACATGTAGATGGTATCATGAGCTTTCATGAGTACAGGCCACTTTTTCAGATGGGCATCATAGTTTATGCATCTTAATAGAGAACAGAAGAAGAGAAACCCACTCCAGTGCATCCCAGGCTCTAGGTTCCCAACTGAATGTCTTAAGTTGACAGGGTTGTTCAGATGTTTTGTTTTTTGTTACTCACTTTTATTACACTTCTTACTGTAATGCTAACTTCACTGGACTACCCTACAGCCTACCTTGTCTCGGTATCTTAAGGTCCCAATCTGCTTGCACCCCAGTTTTCAGCTTTCTCCCTGTGACTTTGTCAAGTGTAGTATGTTTATAGTAATTAAAGGTGAACTATGTATTTTCCCCAGTTTCATAATTAAAAGAAAGCCTTAACCATTTTTGTTCAAATTCACTTTCAGGAATTAATTCAGCTCCAAAGATCAGGGTTTCAGAAAACGGAGTGACAGAAAACTGGCCATTAGAAAGAAGACTGTTGTGTAACTGAAAATGGCAGCCATCTCTTTCAATACAATAAACAATTAACTAGGCTAAGAATCTGATCTTTCAGTGTTGGCTGCAGAACTTTCTGATTTCATGTTATTGGTCTGCCTTAGAGGGCCGTTGAAGACTGAAAAGGACTAGCAAAGGAGTGATAGTCAAGACAATTGTGTCCATACGAAACCTTTCAGAATTTGCTCCCTTATTTCAAAAAATGGTAGGTAAAGATTAGGGATGTTAACTGGTTTCCCAGTACTTGGGGAGCAGCCCCCGGCCAGCCTTGGGTGGAAGACTGCTCCAGGCCTACGTGGGACTGCCTCTTCTAGTCCTGTGTGGGGCTGCTGACTCTGCCTGCCCCCTCCGGGGGTGGAAGAAGCCAGACTAAAGCAGCCCACCCGCCCCCATCTAACCAGTTTACTGGTTAAACTAAACATTTAACCAGTTAACTAATTAAACAGGATTTTACATCCATAGTACAGATATCCTGCCAAATTGCTTTCTTGGATGTATTTATAGGGAATAACATTTTCAAACTCCTGTGTGGCTTAGTCACTTAGGAGCTTAAGTCTCATTGAAAGCCGGTTGGACCTACGCTCCTTTTTTCCCCTACCCATCATACAGCTGGATTTGTGATTATGAAGCAGAAGTGTAGTGATCGAGGCACAAACGTTTAAGGGATCAAAGCAGATGACTTGTGGTGGGATATTTTGCAAAACTGTAAGAGGTACAAACGTTTAAGGGATCAAAGTAGATGAATTGTGGTGGGATATTTTGCAAAACTGTACTTTATATCACAACTTAAATTGAAGAGGTTCAGCACACTCTGATATTTTAGAAATAGCATAACAAAATGTTTTGATTTTCCTTTGCCACCTCTCCCCAGGATTTCCTTTTAGTAAATGAAGAATCTGGTGAGGTCTATGATTTGACTCTTAATGATGAGCTAGAATGTATTTTTTTTAACTTACTGTTTATATTAATACAGCTAAAAATGATATTTTAAATTAAATTCTTATAAATTCACAGATTGGATACTATTTTGGATTTGCATTGACATGGCAGCATCTGCTTCACAGATCTGAAGAAGAAAAGCCCAGGTATGATTTTAAAAAAATAGTATGATGTGTTGTTAATATTGCCCTCAATTTCATAGTTTCTTGTCTCTAAGAAGAAATTTTTATAGAAATTTTATAATTTTTATAAGGTCTCTGGTAATGCCTGTTATGTATTTAAAAATGTACAAGAGGGACAATTGGTAGGTTTTTTTTCCCCTTTGCTTTGAAAGACTCAAACTGGTCAAATACACTGTCATGAGTTCTATTTAATTTTATTTCAAAAGAACTCCTCCTGTAATACATGCAAGAATGCCCTCTTAGCAGCTATGATGCAGAGAAAATTATACATTGTTACAATTGTAGATATTTTTTCAGTGAAACTACTAGTTGAACGTGTACTGAGTTCTCACTGCTAAAGATTGGCGGTCAGAATCTATGCAGCATCTCTGAGGTCTGTTTCCTTCAGACATGGTGTACTCCATATGCTAAGGCTGTGATGGGATCTGAATAGGATGTCTTTTTTTCCCTGCTGCATCATGCTTGCACTGGGGAATTCTCTGCCTAGTTGTGGGACTATATGCAACTGCCATGAACTGTGTGGGGTAGGGCAGTAAAATCCTGGTTAATAAGGTAGTTGGTTAAACCTTAGTTTAACCAATTAAGTGGGATCCCGCATCCCCCTCCCCCATAGGGCTCGAGGCAGCAGGAGCCAGCAGCCTCACCCATGGGGGGTGTCTTCTGCTCTTCCCTTCCCCCCCTGGTGTGCAAGGCTCCCAGCTGCTGCTGCCAGCTCCCATGGGTGGGAAGGCTAGCAGCAGGAGCCATGTCCACAGGGAAGGGGCTTGCTTCTGCTCCCTGCTGCCGCACGCATGAGGCTCCCAACTGCCACTGCCAGCACCTATGCACGGGGCAGTCAGCTCCTGTCTCTGGTCTCCTCCTGTGTGCAGGGCATTTGACTTCCAACCCTCGGGAGGGGCTGTTCCTGGGTACTGGTTAACTGGTACCCAATAAGCATCACCTAGGAAATCAGGGGTGGGGAACCTTTTTCGGATCAGGGGCCACACACACGTGACAAGCGACATGGCCCCCAACTGAGGAGAAAGAAACTCCCCACATTCCTCTTTCCCATGAGAGCCGGGGAGGGGAGGGGACAGCCTCATAGATTTTATGTGCTGCAGTCCTGTGGTGAAGCAGCAAGAGGGCTGGAGCACCAGTGTAGTCTCCCCAATGCCAGTGGGACTCTCAAAGCCTCAGGAGCCGGATCCAGGAAGCCTGGGGCCACATCCGGCCCCCAGGCCTGAGGTTCACCACCCCTGTAGTCAAGTTACCTGTTCACATCAGTGTGAGGCCACAGGAGAGTGGTAGAATTCCTTTGTGCCTGCTTCCTCTATTTGCTTGCTCTGCAGCATTAAGTTCAGTGGCAGGAGGCATGCAGAGCTGCAATCTTGATTCTAAGGAAAGGAGTCTGTTTCTTCTTCCCTCCCTCCCCAAGGATTTCTTTTTAGTAAATGACAAATCTGGTGAGGTCCATGGTTTGAATCTATTAATCGTGCCATCCTTTACCCCGAGTGGATTAGGTTCCATGCATCCAGGTATATTTAGCTAGCAGTCTTAGATAATTCAGGTCCTTTTTACATGACAGGACTGACAGGTTTGCTAGATACTTTAAAATTTCCATTTATATACCATCTTTCATTCCAAGTCTTCTAGATGATATATAATTTTATTCATATAATACTTGTCTAACAAAGTATTACAGATATTGTGCAATATAACAACTAAAATTAAATACTATAAATATACAAGATATAAACAAAACCTATATAAAATCATAAATTAAAATCTACGTTGCTTGAAAAGCTTTCTGAAAGGTAAAGGTATTTAAACTTGCTTTTAAAATAAGCCACTTCTGTTGTCGTCTTGTCATAAAGCATGTGTGATGGGAAGGAATATTCCAAAATACAGACAAGTTTCATATTCCAGAAAACCTGTGCTTCATACCAAAGAAAGTGGGTGTAAAAGGATATTTAGGAATCCCTCAATGAAGACCTGCGGGCTGTATCTACTTTTAAAATGCTAGCGTAGACATTCATTACAGTGACTGGAAAGGCATTCTCCATCTCACTTGGAGAGGCAGGAGCTAAGTAGATAGAACAATTATTTTAATATAGCATTGTGATTAGGAATGTAAGTGAGTAGTCAAATACTCGACTACCTAATAAATCTAAGCTTATGGGGTAGTCGATTCTAGAACTCGACTACTTGCTCCCCCCCTTGTTGCCTCTGTGTGAGAAGCAGCAAGGTGGTGGGGAAGAAGCCAGTACTGGGGGAAGCCAGCTTAAAAGCTGGTTCCCCCCAGCCTCAACTCTGTGGTGCTGCCTTCCCCCTCAACTCCCCATCAGAGGTGGGAGGGGAGTAGGGGAAATCTGTTGCGAAGCAGCACCTGTCTGCAGCCAGCCCCGGCTGCTGCAGATGGGGGCTGCTGATGGAGCAGCCTCTATTTGTGGTGGCCAGCCTGGGCTGCCGCGAACGGGGGCTTCTGGACCTGGCGTGAGCCGGGACTGAGCAGTCTTGTCTTGTGTTGGGCCAGGACCGCTGCACCTCTGCATTTTAAATGTAGTAAGAGCCTGGCTCTTAAAATGCAGAGCTGTAGCAGTCCTGGAGCCTGACTCTGGGAGCTACCCTCATTGCAGCTCTGCAGATTCGTCCCCCTTATCAGTTAATTGTGTAGTTGATATAAATTGTAACAACTACATGATTAGCCAAATAACCGCCCTTTAACTTTTTTAATAGTCTATGTCTCTCAGGTATTTGGATTTTTCACAACCCTGACAGATGTAGCTGCACTGTTGTAAGTTTTTGGAGTAGACCAGCTCTTAGAGAGAATTTTAAATTCAGTTCACATTCACCTAATCAGCTAAGAAAGCAAATACAACAGGAATATGGATTTTCCACTGTCCATTTAGCTCATTAAGCTGTAAACATTCAGCATTTATTCAAATACTATGTATAATTCTTGATCTGGGCTGACTTTAAATGAGGTACCAGCTGTAATTCATAACTGATTTTTATTTAAGTGTTTGTGAGGGGAATAATTTATATAGAAATACAGATCTTATATAGACCTTAAAAATGTAATGTTTATGAAGAGGACGCTCACTTGAAACTTCTCTGTCAAGATGAAGATTCCAGAAAATAGTTGTTTGAACTATATACCAATTTCAGAAGAGGAAAGTATTATAATTGTCTTCTTGAAGAATGCAGGTGTTGAAAGTGATCAGACGTTCATACTTATATGTAATTTTGCTAAATGTTTGTTAAACTGGCTGTTTTCAAGGGTGCTGTTTTTACAGAATTTTTATATTGAACTTTTTGTAAACTGGTGACATAATGTCATCTGAAGATCTAGCTCTCAGAAGACCATGCTAGATTCCTCAAAAGTGAAAAGTGGTCCCATGTATTTGAATTGCTTGTTTGTTTGTGGGAGGATGCTGAGAATGGTCACAGACATAGCCTCTCTGTATAATGCAAAACATATACTCTTTTTTAAATTGCTGGTTTGAGTGGGAGTTTCCCAAAGTGATGCTTGCTAAGGGTGACCTGATTGGACTAAGTTTCGTGGTTCTAAGTTAAATCTTGCACCTGATTTATCTCAACACATTGGAGGAAGGCATTGCAAGGCAGAACAAAGCAAACTTTCCTAACCAATAAAATCAAATGGAAGTCTCCAGAAACTTTCAGGTCAACAAACCATCTGTGGAAAAGCTGACCTTCCAGAATATCCCAGACTGATCATCTCGGGGAGATGAGGTCACAACATTAATTACCAGGCTGCTCCAGTCTTTGGTCTTTTGCAGCACTGGAAGAAGACTCTGTAGAGAAGTGGTCTCCAATTTTTTTTATGTCCAAGATCACTTTCTGAATTTAAGGGCAATCCAAGGTCTACCCAACCCTTACCTAAACCCTGCACCACTCACTCCATCTCCTGTCTCTCAGTCACTCATTCCCTCCCACTTTCACTCACTTTCACCAGGATGGGGCAGGAGGCTGGGGTTCAAGAGAGGGTGCCAACTCTGGGCTGGATCAGAGAGATTTGCAGTGTGGGATGGTGTACTGGGCTGAGACTGGGGCAGCTAGTTGAGGTGTGGAGAGTGATGGGTGAAAGCTGTAGGAGAGAGTTTGGGTATAGGAGGAAGCTGCAGGCTGGGGCAGAGTATTGGGGTGCAGGAGAGGATGCTGACTCAAAGAGGGGGGTCAAGGCTAGGGCAACAGATTTAGGGTTAGGGGGGTATATGAGATGCTGGCTTTGAGAGGGAGTTCAGGGCAGGGACTTGGGGTGCAAAAGGGAATATGAGATGCTGGCTCTGGGAGGGGACCCAGGATGAGGCAAAGGGTTAGGGTGCTGGCTTTGGGAGGGGGCTCAGGGCTGAGGCTTTGGTTGCAGGTAGCAGTATGAGGCGCTGGCTATAGGAGAGGGCAGGGTGTTGATGTGCATATTTTCTGTGGGCAGCTCCCCATTGGTGGTGCAGTGAAGCTGAGGCAGGCTCCCTGTCTGCTCCAGGCCCACTCTGCTCCCAGAAAGGGCTAACGTGGGGTAAGGGGGCACGAGCATATAGCTATGTCTAGACTACAGGGTGGTTTTTTTGTGTGTCCTTTTTTCGAAAAAACGTCACCTGCGTCTAAACTGCCACTATGTTCTTTCAAAATTAAATTGAAAGAACATGATGGTTTTTTTGATAGCAGTAAACTTCATTTTATGATGAAGAATGCCTTTTTTTGAAAATTCTTTTGAAAAAAGGCGTTCTTGACTGCAAACAGGGCTTTTTCAGAAGAGAGCATTCAGATTGCCTGGGTGCTCTCTTTTGAAAAAGCAGATTGCTTTTTCAAAAAAGTTGTGGCTGTCTAGACAATCTCTTTTGAAAGAAACATGTAGTCTAGATGTACTGTAAGTGTGCTGCCATTTTCAGCTGGCATTGCACCCTCAGATCTCTGTTGGCCACAGTTCCCTGTTCACCAACCTCACTAATCGCATTGGCTGGGCTTAGAGGCAGGAATAGCACGCCAAGACTCCTCTGCCGGGGCCAAGCTGAATGTTTCTGGGAATGGGCTGGCGGTATAGGGCCAGAGCAGGCAGGTAGCCTGCTGATCGTGATCAACTGGAAGATTCTCCAGGATCAACCAGTGAGTCACTGCTCTAGTATGAACCCTCATTAAAGAGTGTTTTCTGTCTAAAGTCCTGAGAGACTTGAGGGTGTCATCTATAATTTTTAGTAAATAAGAGTTGTTAAACTTCTGCCAAACAAAAGTATTCTGTTAAGTCTGTATTATTAGATTCTTGGTGGGGGAAATGAAGGTGAAGAGAGGAGGTAAGAGATACCACATAAAAATTGAAACTTGAGAAGGAAACTTTATAAGTTGCTCTGAGGTCCAGACATTAAATGATGGATAGGTTTTAGTTTTTAGTATTAATGAAATTAAATAATTACAGTGATTTTATGTGTAATTTGTTTTCTTGACTTGATAGTGTAGTTCAGTACTAATAGCTTAACTTTCGTGAGTATTTTAATACAGTTTAAGAGAAGATACTGACCTGGATACAGTGCAGTCTACCTCTAAAACCTTGGCCAGTTTCCCCTAATTAGTTCTGCACAGATGTCTAATTGCAGCTGTCTTTATTCACTTGATGCACACAGTGCATGTTAGTCTAAAGTGAATGCCACAATTATATAGCTCTTTGAGTATTTTGGAATTTGCTCTCAGTAATAACTATAACTATAGATTCCCATTTTCTTTTTAAATGTGATCTGTAGTTGACCGGAATTATTTTCTCAAGCCAGTGAGATGTAAGGGCATCAGTACTATTTCCAGAAGTAGTACCAGAGTGCTTGCAGTTTCTGCTTGCCCTATCTGGAGAATGGCTTAATTACTTCAATTTTTTCCTTCCTGCAACATAAGTATGTCTTGCAGAATCTTCTTGATGCCAAGAATTTGATTTTCTTAGTGCGTGCCCTGCCAAGTGGACTCTTATTTCTGCTGAATAGAAACACTAAAAGAAAATCTGTATTTTCTTTTTTTTGCAGTAAAAAAATAAAGGCTCTGGAATCATTGATAGGACTGATTCAGAAATACCCTTATGAAGACCCCACGTACGACAAACTTCATGAAGATCTGGAAAAAATCAGAGGAAAATTTAAACAGGTGTAGTATTTAGTTGTCATTTTAGCACAGAAGTAGTACAGTTTCTGAAAATACTGCAGTCTAAAATGACAGTAATATAAAGCTACATTTATATAGTTCTGAGTAATTATTTAGTAATCTTTCTAAGCTACTTGTATCCAGTTACAATTGTAATGTTTGTTCTACGCAGAGGTAAAATAAGGTGCAGTTCTCCAGTCCATGGCAAATGCAATAAACTTCATTCTAAAAGAAAAAAAGGCTAAAAATCCATATAATTCTGATTTGAGAGACTGCAATGGAAGGGAGAGGAGAAAAGAGAAGAAATGGGAAGGGTATCTTGTTACAAATTTACCTGAAATTAATATACACTTTAAAACACCTATGTGTTCTTTTTTTAGGTTTGCTCATTGCTAAATATTCAATCTGATTTTAAAATCAGTACTGAAAGATCTGCACTTACTTTTTGAGTATAACAGATGAAGATAAACATATATGAACAAGGAAGAAGCTTTAAGGAACGGATATCGAGAGAAGTGATTAACTATAAGAAATAATAAAGGCAGATAAAGTCAGAGTATAAACAGGTTTTTATTTTCCATAAGAGAGGGTAGAAGAGTAATGCAGTAGTGGAAAGGTATCCCTTTAATGTTTGCTGTGTCCCAATCTTACACGATCATTGTAACACAAGTGCATGTCCTGTTGAAAACAAAAATGAAAAATCTCCACATTCATGGAACACTTAATTCTATATTCATCATCTGTTTTTAATTTCAATGGGGAAAATAAATTGCTTCTGTAATGTTTTGTTTTATGATGCTCCCATGTTTATTATCTAAAGGATACATATTTCAAAACATTTATTGATCACTATGAATTACACATTTTGGGTAAATGTGCACAAAAAAGATAAGTTATTTTCCTTACCCGGAGGCACTTACAATAAAGAGCTATATTATTTTTGATGGTGAAAAGGTGAAGCAGAGGTGGGATAAAAGAGGAGGTGTATTAAACATGATTCTCAAAGCAGCTACAGCTCAAAACATAGACTATTGATACTTTGTTGTTGATTTTTCTGTATTATTTTCATGAGCTGTGACCACTGATATCTGATCCAGTGCAGAAAAAATACATTTGCACCTGAAAAAAGATTGAGATATACCAGTACAACTTAAAATAACTAATTAATGGTGAGGAGTGTGAGGTAATGTCTTTTACAGATCACTTCACCTACTTTGTCTCTGTCACATCAGGGAACAAAATGGCTACAAAAATACTGCAATATTTAAGTGATAAATTGTTTCCAAGATGGGAAATTAAGTTTTCAATTTCATTCAGAAAATGGATGCTGTTGGAATATGTAAGTGAATATTCAACTATGTTAGTTTAAAATAAACGCATTATTTTGTTAAAAAGATTTTCTGTATTTGGTGCTAGATACATGTGTAATTTTTCACAAATAGAATTTAATGGCATTTCTAGATGACATTTCACTACAATGTAGTGTATGTATATCTGTGGAGCTGCTTCATTTATGTGTCCGGGAATAACATTCCCATATATATGAGATGAATTTGGATATATTGGATTTTAAAATGAGAATATATATATATATGATGAATTTTGATTTTAGAATATCTATATCTATAAAATATCTATCTATAGATTTGATTTTGATCTATCAAAATTCATCATACTACTCAAAGTAGAGGGGTACAGCGTTCCTTTTAAAATGTGTCTTCATCCTGCTTTCATATTTGAGATATGAAATGGGGATATTGCATTACCATTTTAGAAGATAAATTCTAAACTGGGATATATGCCAAATCTTTAAATTTTTGTTTGACATATATGCCAATGAACAGAGGTTAATTTTAATAGCCATGATGTTTTGACTTTTTTAATATCTGTTTACATGGTAAAGCATTTCAACACATCAGATATACAGAGTAATTTAGAGCCACCTACTGGAAGATGATATTATATCAACTCAAATATAAGATCTCTAAAAAGCAAAAATTGCAAGCAGTTACAAATATATCTTCTTACTGCTAAAATTGAGATGATCGAAAATGTATACACAACTAATTTTTAAATATGTTTATTATGGTGTAAAAATTTACATTCTTTTGAAATAAAGTATTAAGTTTATACTGCTATAGTTTGTATTGATTTTAATTAAGCCATAAAGAAAACAGAAAACATTCTAAAACAGAGAATTATAATGCATCGGAAAGAATTGTATGTCTAAGAATCCTGTTTATGAATATAAGTAAATGTATAAAAACAAAGTTTCTTCAGATAAATAGAAAACATAAGGGTTGTTAATCTTCAGTTACATTCAGTCAATATCAGTAAAAGTGGTTTCCACATTGAACACGTGCAGTAATAACATTAGTAAAAGTGTTTTTCATGGGAATTTTGAGGGTTTCCCTGCAGTAACTTTCACTGACAAATTTTAGAAGCAAAATAACATCCTAGAATGGTTTGTGCCAAAAAAGAGTGTGATGATGTGACTATTCCACACAGGCTCTGAATGGGTAAAAATAGTTGATTTACCCTGTGACAGGCTGCTGGAGGAGAGCCAGGGTTTGATAAAGACTAGCAGATGATAAAGCCCAGATGGGCAGAAGAAGGTTAATGTTGTATAAAGCCAGCAAGGAGAGAGCAGGAGAGTGTGATAGGAAGGAATTCTGCAGTCATTCCCTAGAGAAGGGGGTAGTTGGTAAGAGACAGGCTACACCTAGACTGCAGAGTCTACACAGCACCAAATTTCAAAAAAACCTGTTCTTTCGACACATACCTTATGTCTCATTGAACATTCTGTTGAAGCAAACGCCTCACTCAGTTTACGCGGCTAAACAGACAGTTTTATTGGCCAATAAAAGCAAAGTGAGCCAAACGTGGTCCCAGCAAAGCTGGGTCCAGTAAGGCTGCTTAATACAATCAATCCTAGTATTTTATACCCTTAACCAAACAAGTCTGACGTCAGGGCAAGAAATCAAAGAGAACTTCAAAGAGGAATTATTATCAGCATAGAAAGAAACAGGTTAAAAGGGAGTTCGAGCTTCAGCTCAAAATAGTTCATTAACACATTCCAACAGCGCATCCCTCTGGTCTCTCCCCACCTCGGTGAAGCAGACACAAAAAACTAAAATGGCTTTTTATTATACAAAATGGCTTTTAGCTAAATATAAAATAGCTTTTACAATTCCTTGGACGTGGCATTACTTTTCTGGGATACCAAGGAGGTGAACATTCTGTTGAAGCAAACGCCTCACTCAGTTTAAGAACATTCCTTGGACGTGGCATTACTTTTCTGGGATACCAAGGAGGAGGAGTTTGAGTTTGGGACAAAGTATAACTTGACTCCAGAAAAATGGAGAGAGACCAAGATGCTAGAAGCAAAAGAAAGGAAGTCAGACTAGTTGAGAGCAAATCCCTTGATAAGCCACAAGGAGGTGTGTCAGTTATGAGTAGTAAACCGTGTGACAAGCAATTTGAGGGCATCCCTCCATTATTTAGTTTCTAACTGAGCCCTTTGGCAGTCACCCCGAGCCGTCACCTGTAAACTCATGAAAAATGCTTAATTTTAATTTTCTATTTATTCAAATTTAATATATATTAGAAACAAAATAAATTAGCAGAAATTACCGATTAAAGAAAATATCACTCAAAACCGGAAAATGAATCTAAACTTTATACATACTTGAATGAGACCTGCAACATCAGTAAGTATATACCATTTTAAACTACAATTGTGCACCAGTTTTCTTTGATATCAAATTAAAGGGTTTGTTACATGTTGACTTCACCAAGGATGAAATTATGCAAACCATTTGCTGCCTGTGACTAATTTTGACTACTGTAAAATGTGGTTGATTGCAATCTCTGTATTATGTTCACCATGAAAATTCCAGAAACCAGTGAGGGTTTTTTTTTGGTGGTATGAAGAAAAAAAATGAAAGTCAACTCACTGTTCCTGTGCAACTTGGTATTGGCAGAGATAAATAGCAGGAGATACTGGACATCTGCGATGGATGTTCTCAAGATTTGGCTTACTATTGGCTCTTTACCTTGGATCTACAAAGGAGATTTTGGTTAGAAAATCACAGGAACCATACTGAGATCCACAAAGCCTTAGTGAAGCATCTAGAATACCTCTATAGCAAATGGAGTAGATAGGTACCTTAGGCCTTATTTTTATTAACTGCTGTAGCATCAATCCACCATGTGATCCACTGGCATTTGATTTATCATGTCTGCTTAAATGTGATAATCAATCTCCGAGCACTCTACCATTAACTCTGGTAGCTCATCAGAACGAGAAGAGAAGCTGGAGTCGATGGAAGAGACGCCTTCACCGACCTTACTGCACGGAAGACACTGCAGTAAGTATGTCAACTTCAGCTTGCATAGATGAAGTTGGGTAGGTTACACTTAACCTCCCTGGTTGATCTAGACAAAGCTTTAGAATGAAATCCACAAAGCCTGCATCTCAGGTGGGGAGCTACCAAAGCTAGCCAATAGAAGATATTGCTAAGAAGAGTACTAAACTCTTCCCCTCCCTATCTGGCACCTAAGTCCAGGCTGCTTGTGATTCAAAAATCAATGGAAGATGGACAATAACCACCTCTGTTATTTTTGGGGCCCAATCAGCTGCCACCACATTCTACACTAAATAGCCAGGGAGAAAGGAGGCACTCCCTTGAAACCTTTTGCTTGGGTAGGCTACCCACTTGAGATGTGGGAGACCCTCATAGTTGAAGTCCCTGTTATGTCTGATGAACAGATCTGGACAGGGATAGGCCACCTCTGTGGTAAGTGCACTAACTGCTAGGATATGGAGTCATTCTCCATCTTTGGTGCTTAGCTGTCCAAACTGTGCTGCACCGGCCTATGGCAGCGATTTAAAGGACCCAAAACTCATGTTCCCTTTGCTCCCCCACTCCTGCCATTGGCAAGGTTGCAAGGGGACAAAGGATACATTTTGCCACTGGGTTTCCTTATTAGCAGAATTCAGAGGAAGGGTGAGACTCAAGAATCCTGGGTTCCAATCCATGTTCTGAGAGGAATGTACTTGAATAGTTATATTACAAAACTCCTGTCCCCTCTGGCCTGTCTTTGATCTGCTCTTTCAAACACATACCGCCACCACTTCCTCGCTTCCTATTTAAGCTCCCTTCCTCATTCACTTTAACATGCTCCAATCCTCCCTGAACTTGGCTTCATGTCCCAAACTCTCCCAACATTCCTCAGAAGCCCAGCTTCTCAACCTTTGCATTCCAGTCAAGCTGCTTCCTGCTTACTGTTGCTAGGGCACCACAGAAGTAGTTGTAGTCTGGCTGGTCCAGATCCAATCAATCTTATCTGAGACAAGTTAACAACTCTTGGCATTATCATGCTAACTTACTTTGGGTCTACAAGTAAATTTTAGAATGCCAGTTCAATCATGCCACATTCTATTTTGAAATTAAATTCCTACTACCAGTTGGACCTCCCTGCTCTGGAACCCTTGAGACCTGACTGGTCCTGGGTGAAAGTTTTTGCCAGACCAAGGGAGGTCATTTCTAGTTCCCCTGATACCATCCCCCTGATCCCTGGCCTGGCTGCCGGTTGGAGCCTACTGCTGGCCCCACTGCTCTGCCACTCTACCGGGCTTCCCAGCTCTGCTGGGCAGCTCTGCTGGGCAGCCCTGCTGCGATGCATTGGACTCTTGGCCTTGCTGGCATCTCACTGCAGGCAACCCTTTGCCTTGTATGGCCAGCTGCCAGCCTTCCACCAGGTCTCTCTAGTCCTGGAACATCCACGGTCAATATTGCTGAGCCAAAGAGTCCTGGTTTAGAGAAGTTCGACCTGTAGTGAGTAAAAACTCAAGAGACAGTAAATTGTAAGAAAATCCATGGAACTTGTGCAAAAGAAACTTGGGCTACTAACATTACTAGCTCTTTGGAATTACTTCATTTTATTAGAGGAAGAAAATGAAGACTTCTGGTTTAAGATACTCTTTTGGTGGTATTTTTAGTGAATAAACATTGGGAATCTCTTGTTTTGGAAGGTCTAGAAAAATAATTTAATTACTATATTTCTAGATACATTGGACACATATATTAGGTCTCATACAATACAATTACTGAACTTTCTTTCTATAGAGAGTAGATTAAGACTGTGATACTTTAGAATTCTCATTCTAAAACACCAAAATATTTTTTTAGAGACTTACAGTGTATTTGTACTTATCTACAGTTCAGCTGTAAATAGAGAGATTCCACTTTTGGAACAAGAGGAGATATGTCAGCCACAAATTCACTCACAGCCTGATGTTCCAAAGTGCTTGGGGGACTTCAGAGGAGGGGATCTTATACCTAAAAAAAAAAAATTAGATGAATCTGAATTTGCAAGGTTTTTTTAAATTTTAGATGTATAAATTCTACTGTGTCAATGCCGTTTTTTC